TTTTTCACCAGTACAGCCACTCCTCCTCCCTTCCTAGTTTTCCTGTCACGTCTCCAAACTGAATAGCCTCTTGGGAATATGACTTCATTTATTATATTTCCTTCAAGTTTCGTCTCTGATAATGCAACAATATCTGGGACCCTAAGCTGGATTATAGTTTGCAACTCCAAATTTTTTGAGCTCACTCCATCTATGTTGGTATATACAATTTTCAGGAACATGTTCCCTTTTCCTTTGCTCTTTACTCCCCCTTCCACTACTGATCTTGTTGCTTTGTTTTTATGTACCATTTCACTAGCTTTCCAGTCCCTGTCACTTTGTAGAAAAAAGAATTTCTGTCTTCTTCATTTCTCTCTCCATTTAGACGTTTTGCCTCAATTAGGTTCATTTTCAGCTTTTCTCTGTCTTCCTTGGAGAGGTCTTGTCTTATTGACCAAAGTTTGCCAACCTCATCACTCTGCAATTTCCTGGCATTTCTTAGCACTTCCATCATGTTTTTCACTCCATTAAATGTCACCCTTAAGGGGCGGCTCTTGTCTTTCTCATATTTTCCTATTCTTCTAAAATCACTGACATTTTCCTTTGAGCCTTCTCCTAAACCTACTATTTTCTCTATGATTTTCATCTCTTCTGCCGTTCGGTCCACCCTAGATGAAATTTCCTTCTCTAAACATCCAAAAATGATTATGGACTTAGTTCTATCTGCAGTGTTTTGTACCAGTTTACTGTTGGTAACCAGTTCTTTCCTAATTGCTTGCCTAATTTCTGCTTCTTGTTGGTCATTTCTGGTTTTGACTTCCGAACACACTTCTTTGATAGTCTCTTTCTCTTTTACAACTTGAGCATATGTCGCTTTTATTTCTTCTTTATACTTTTCTAGTTCTTTATTCACCTCCTCTATGTGAGTTGTCAGTGAAGTTTCCAGTTGGAGATCCTTACCTAACTCTATGTTAGCCCTTAGGCTTGCTTGGAGTTGTTCACCATATGAGTCTATCTTCTTGTTTATTTCTTCAAAGTCACCACACTTCACTTTCCATGCCTCATTTTCTTTCACTAGTTCCTTGATTTGCTCCTCCTGATTTGTTACCTTGTCTGTTAATGCAGTAATAATCTTACCTTGTTGAAGCATACTCCCTTTTAGAGTGCAAAGCTCACTCCTAAGAGCTCCATTGTCCTCTTCCAATTTAAGCACTTTTTCTTCATACTTCTTTTGCATATCCTCAATTATCTCTAACCTGCCAAGAACACCACCTTTCCTTATATCTTGTGGTGAGAATCCTTTGAAACCATCATCTGTTGGTGTGTCTACATCCTCAGTGGTGGCGGCCATCTTTGTTTTTGTTCTAGAACCAAAACAAACTTTTCCACTCAACTATTTTCACTCACTTTTACTTGTTTATTGCATTTTATTTGCTTTTACACTTCCCTGAACCTTTATGTAACCTGGGACACCACTGTAGCCCTCAACCTGTTCCCAATACTTAGGTAATTCGATATTTCCAGGAGCTTGCTGCAGTGTGACTTCTGCCTCCTCCAGCTCACAGTCCACCATATGAACAATGTACGAACATTGGAAGGCAATACAAGCAACATGTACATGTGGCTAGACTTAATAACCCTGCAGACAACCCATGGATAAAACCCATGCCACGCCCCCCAATGAAAAGAATAGGCAGTCTGCCAGCGAAGAAGACTCCGTAACCTCCAAATGCACCCAATACGGGAAAGAAGAACCGAACTCAAACAAGGATGGATCCATCACAGAGGCAAAATCCACGTCTCGCAGGAGGTATGCAGCAAGAGCCTCCCAAACCTCCTTAGGTGAGATTCGAGAAGCAGAAAACCTTCAGAATGAAGGAGCCGAGGAACCCAAGGAAACCCTGAACCAAACCTGGGGAGGAGCCGACCCCAAATTATACTCATACAGGGAAGGGAGGTAAGAAAACCCCTCTCCCTGCAACAACAAACTCAACTAAGAGGGCATTAACACCCAAGCAGGATCAAAGGGGGCCAAAGCCCCCCCCCCCCTTCCAGGTCAACTCCTTCCCAGCCCTGGGATCCTCCAAACCAGTACTCAGGGCAGAGCTGTCCTCCACACCCTCTACCCCTGAAAAATCCAGGGAAAAGGCCGAAAAGAGGGGGGGGGGGTCTGCTGGTGGGACCCAGAAGCCTTGGCATGAGGAGCAGGCTCAAATGCCTCTGTCCCCCAACCCGATTGGGGCAGTCCCCGAAGCCACCCGTGTCTCATCACCAACTAAACCCTGCCTCGACTCCGAAACTCTTAGACATTTGGAAGCCGGGAGGAGGGAAAGGGGAGGAGCAGGGCGAACAACACCAACCGGGAAAGGACTGGGGAGTGTGGACTGAACCAAAGTCGAAGCAATTAATGTCCCCAAGTCCAGGTCCCTATAACCAAAACAGGGTAGCCTCGGGGCATCCAGGTGACTAACCAACCTAGCGCATTGCAGCAACCTAAACTTAGCATGCAACGCAGATGCTGCCTGTACCCGAACCTTAATGTCTACAGAATGATTAAATTGGAGCATGAGCAGAGAACACGCCTCGCAAGATTCCGGGTCAAAGGTGTTGTTGACCCATCAGGCAGCATTACAAAGGCAAATATGGCGACTTTCATCCTGAGACAAGGGCACACAGCAACCTTCAAACTCATACGAGGTGAGTACGAGGTGAGAAGCCACCGGGAGCCAGCTGCCTCAACTTATGGTTTACACGTGGGCTTGACACCCCGACTAGGAAGCGAGAGTTTTGCCTGACTCTTGAGAAGTTCCCCCTGACGTTACATACGCAAACCTACTCGACAGCTAAGCCCTCCTAACTTATTTATTAATAATTGTAGTCTACTAACTTTATAGAAAATATTATTTACCATGATTTAATAACCTCATGATTACTTAATATTATAAGGTGGATTTAGCAATATTAAATCAACCTCCCAAAAGTGTGTAAGCGGCAACAACTAGCAGATACAGTAATACCTCAGCTTACGAATTTAATCCGTTCCCAGAGACGACTCATAAGCCGAATATTTGTAAACTGAAGCGAATTTCCCCATAAGAAATAATGGAAATTGAATTAATCCGTTCCAGACTCCCCCAAAAATTAACTTCAAAGTAAATTTTATACCTAATTCACTCAAATCTTCAGTACTAAAATATGTACAAGTTATTACTTACCTTTACTGATGACGTGTTGGCGTATGGAAGATGGTGAGGGGGGGGAGGGGAAGAGGAGAGGTGTTGGTGTTTGGAAGGGAAGTCCCCTTCCATTATAACATCAGGCAGTGAGGACTTCTCTGGAATGTACTCTCTGGCACGTTTTGCCTGCATACCACTAGGTCCTGATTGTGGCTCACTGCTTGCTTGTCTTACCAAGATCTGTCTAAAAGACACTTGTTTTTCCCTACATTTTAACATTTGTCTGCAGTAAGATATCACATTGTCATTTAAAAGGTCAATGCAACGGCTTCCTACAGCTTTATCTGGGTGAGAACTGCAACAAAACTTTGCAGTTCTTCCCATACTTCACTCATTTTCTTAATGAGGAAGGGACATCCTCTACTGCCTCTACTCTCAAGTATTTTCTTAGGTTGAACCTTACCACTGACTTTCTTGGGACCCATGGCAAGATATGTAATAATTACTTTTATGTTCAAATACCAAAAAATCTGAAAAACACTGAAATTCTTTACAAAGAATTCGGGTGTAATTGTCACCAGTCAGGAGCCACTAGTAAACTGAGGCGCGATCGCTGTGCCACCACACGCTAGGTCAGCCATACGCGTATCAACAAGCTCGTTTCCCGAGGCAAAGCTCATAACCCAAATCGAAATTTCCGAAGAAATTGGGCTCATAACCCGAAAAACTCGTAAATAGTGGCATTCTTAAGCCAAGATGTCACTGTATATCAATCAATCATACAGTCCACGTTTTACAGTCCACTTAATAATAATTAATCTTAATATGATTAAACATCTGCTGGGATATTCCCACAGAAACCCCCATGACATGTACAATCACAGGGCCTATCGAAGGGCCACCAAAATATCAGAAGTGGACCTATAGCCAAACAAGGCAGACCCCCACCAGGCAAAGAAAATAAAGATAAAAGAAAAAACCTGCGAAAGTACAATGTCCCTAGAGGAAACAGGAACCTGCCGCTGCGTAGGTAGGCGAGCTGCACAACACCTTGACGCCCCCAACCAGCAACAATACCACTTCCTACCCAAGGCCAAAGGCCATGAAACCCAAGTTGGCCCCAAGGGCAGGGTAAATGCCGAGCAGCAAGAACCCCTATAGAAGTGGAGTCCCGAAGGCAGTATGGAAGAGAACCCTAGCATCCAGGGGTAGTACTTACAGGGCATTTAGGGAAGTCAGCCCTAAGTGCATATAGCCTCAGTACACTGAATTTACACCTGGACACCACCACCACAACACAGCAGGAAACACTACTAAGGCAAAATACTGCCAAGAAATCGAGGCCAGAGTTGACGACCACCCAAGAATGCATTAGCCAACAAACTGAGGTTGAGTAACCGGTGCAGTGGGTCCGGGGCTTCCCCCTCCCGGATGGGGAGGGTTGCGCGGACAAGCGGTGCAGCGGCGGTGGTGTGATGTTTGCTTGTTTGCTCATTGGGGAGTTCTGCCTCCCTATTTGATTTCTGGTTGCAATTTTCTTACCAAATGGGGTTTGTTTTGATATGCCTATCTTTCTGGGTGTCTAGCCCCAGTTGATGGTAGACAAGGAATACCCCCCAACCACTTGGAGGTTTCCAGAGGAAACTGCTCCCTGTGCTTCTCTGAGGAGGCCAGGTTCTGGCTCGTGGTTCCTGGTAGGCTGAACTCCAACTGACTGATGCCCCAGACTAATATATTGCATATATTAGCGCTGATAGCTCCAGGGAGCCGATGGGGCTCCCCCACAGAAAAGTGGGTATACTATTCACACGTAAGAACATTAGAGGGTAATACAGTACTACTCACATGTAGGCGACATTGCTGAAGATGTCGGTCATCTCCCAGTCCCAGTAGGAACGGGTCATGTTGCCTAACGGCTCCTTCGGTGCGTCCCAGCATCCTGAAGGACATACAGAACTCATAACATGCTCTTACAACTAAACCTTCCAGTCAGATTAATTTTGCAGAGAAACACAAGGCTGGAACACTTTTCTGAAAATACACAGGTAATGTATATGCAAGTCTGAATAGCTTTGTTAGCCACACCCTACTTGTACTGTATATGGTAATCAAAAAGATTTTGTAATTATAGTAATCAATGAAGATTGTTGTTAAAAGACAATATACAGTACTGAATACATGTATACATTATATTAGGTTCTGTTGTACAGTGGTCTACATCTTTGACTCACAACTGAGGGACCCGGGTTCAATCCCCAGAACGGATGTGCATGTTTTCCTTTCACCTGATACCTCTCTCTCTCTCTCTTCACCTACAGTAGCAGTAAAATAGGTACCCCAGGAGTTTGGCTGTTTTTGTGGGTTGCATAACAATTTGCTAAGAAACAGAGCCAATATTAGGAAAAGGTATCAATCTTATAAGAATAATATTCAGTGTGACTATTATTGATATAATGAGGCTAAATTATTTAGTGTATAAGGTAACAGACAGTAAGGTGGTATAGGAAATTTCATCAGATTCATGGTTACCAAGTAGCAGCTTCCCCGCCAAACACACACCGAAACTACGAGGTTGCTACAACGTTCGAACAAGTATTAACACCTCCTAACCAGTTATAATAACCAATATAGCAAGTTGTAACAACGTTCTAATACGTCATAAACACGCTAAGCCAAGATGTAACAACTTTATTACAAGTTGTAACAAGCAGAAAATACAGTCAGTTACGGTTTGTGTTTCCAGATCCGTTCATAAACGTTCTATTAATACACAGCACGAAAGTTCTTCACCTACCTATGGGGCCCAAGTACTGGCATATGGCAATATTGGCACCATTGCCAGAGAGCTGTGCTGCCTTGAAGCTTGGTGCCACGGTAAGATTGTCAGGCACTGTCAACAGTCTCCAGCCAGGTGCTGTGGACGGCTTCTCTGCCTCACTCACCACCCCAGAGCTTATATTATATATGCTTGCTGTTGTCCAGTCTCCCCACCTGTAAAATTTAATGAATCAGCATTACAGTAACAAATTTCTTTTCATTTCAGTGTACTGTACATTAAAGCATCATTTCAACCCGTCCTCTTAAAAATAACGTCACTTTTGGCTCGTATGTGCACTATGGCCAAATTTGGATGTAATTTGAAATGAAATCGACTCATAAAAGTGACATACTGTTCCTTTTTCTGTTTGAGTCACCCGGCTTACTCAGCAAGCTTAGAAGAGGCAACTTTCCATTAACGTTTTTCATACTGTTTTGAAACTTTATGAGAATTTCCTACCCACCTAATCTATCAGATGTTCAACAACTTACTGTTGTTGAAAAAAAAATCCAAAATTTATTTTCATTTTTTTTCATTTTCAAATTACTGTACGTCCATATTCGGCCATACAGGCAAACGGCCAAAAGCGACGTTCTTTTTAAGAGAACAGGTTGATTATTTAGTGCATATGTAACATCCATGTAATCTTCTATATCGTTTCAAATTGTCAAGGGCAGAAAGCATGTTAGGCTAATTTGGTATTCCAAGAGCGCAACTTAACTAAACTAGTAATGCTCTGCAAATCAAGGGTCTCAAAATGTGGAACGACCTTCTCATTCACGTCAAAAACTGCCCATCTTTCAAGTACTATCTAATCAACTCCATGTAACCTACCTTAACTCCTATATGTCAACCAATGTCTTGCTATTATCAAACATTAATGATTAATGAATAACTTTTTAAAACTGATGATATCTGCCATGTATAAATTTAAAGAAAACTGTAGTCTTTCTGTTTATTTAGTTAAAATTACTATCTGCTGTTCTATCGCAATTTCTGCTGTTCCATTCAACATGTAATTATTGTTTCTTTACTTCAGTTCAATTCATGCTTTTGATCTCAATAAGTTTTAAGCCTTAGTTTTTAAGTTTATTTTTTCCACATCCACATCATCCACGCGCACATAAAATGCGTTCAAAAGGAATTACCGGGAAAATAGGCAGATGGATCTACAATTTCCTGACCAACAGAACCCAATGTGTAATAGTCAACAAAATAAAATCCAGCCCATCAACCGTGAAGAGCTCAGTCCCCCAGGGTACTGTGCTTGCTCCAGTACTTTTTCTCATCCTCATATCGGACATAGACAAGAACACAACCTATAGCACTGTATCATCCTTTGCAGATGACACTAGGATCTTCATGAGAGTAGGCAACAAAGGACATGGCGAACCTCCAGTCAGATGTAGATCAGGTCTTTCTATGGGCTACAGAAAATAATATGGTGTTTAACGAAGGTAAGTTCCAGATCATGCGCTATGGAAAAAACGAAAATATAAAAACGGAAACCACGTACAAAACTCAGGCAAATCATAACATAGAACGAAAAGGCAATGTAAAGATCTGGGTGTACTTATGTCGGAAGACCTTACCTTTAAAGAACACAATAAAGTAGCCGTCACAACTGCAAGAAAAATGACAGGTTGGATAACAAGAACTTTTCACACTAGAGATGCTATACCGATGATGATACTTTTCAAAATGCTTGTGGTCTCTAGAGTGGAGTACTGCTGCACAATGACAGCCCCTTTCAAAGCTGGAGAAATTGCTGACCTGGAGAGCATGCAGAGATCCTTTACTGCTAGAATCCACTCAGTAAAACATCTAAACTATTGGGACTGACTAAAGAGCCTAAATCTGTACTCCCTTGAGCGCAGGCGGGAGAGATGCATAATAATTTACATGTGGAAAATATTAGAGGGGCTGGTCCCAAACCTGCACAGGGAAATAACATCACATGAGACCAGAAGACATGGCAGGATGTGCAGAATAACCCCGTTGAAGAGCAGAGGTGCAACAGGTACTCAGAGAGAACTCTATCAACATCAGAGGCCCGAGACTGTTCAACACATTTCTGCTACACATAAGGGGCATAACTGGCAAACCCCTCAAAGTGTTCAAGAGAGAACTTGTCAAACATCTCCAAAGGATACCTGATCAACCAGGCTGTGACTCGTATGTCAGGCTGCGAGCAGCCGCGTCCAACAGCCTGGTTGACCAGTCCAGCAACGAGGAGGCCTGGTCAACGACCGGGATTGTGCGGCATTTGTGGTGATGTCTTACTTGTTTCTTTGGTTTTGATGGGGAGTTCCGTTGCTAGTTCGGCTTTCGGTTTGCAAATTATTTGATCAGCAGTAGTTTGTTTTGGAATTCCTACCGTTCTGGGTGCCTGACTTGGTAGATGGCAGACAAAGACTGCTTCCAATTACACAGGGGGTGTCTTTAGACCATTGCTCCTCATGCCTCCCTTGAGGGGGCCAGGTTCTGGCTCTGGTCCCCGGTAGGCCTAGAACTCCTTCAAGTGACTGTTGTCACGTCTAATATATATACACATCAGCACAGTATAGCTCCGGGGAGACTCCGGGTCTCACCCAGAAAACAGCGTTTCATTACATTCAACATTTTTTTTTCAGTTCTTGATGAATATGGAATTTCGAGAATCAAGGCCTTGTGCAGAGTGCATTGCCATACTGTCTATGGCTTCTTCAAAATCCAGTTGGGATAGGGTGACATCTGATATATGATTTGATGTAGGTATCACATCCATGAAGAATTCATTTGGGTTATCAATCATCAGTGTGTTTAGTGGCTCGCTGAAAACAGAGTCGTACTGATTCCTCAGTATTTTGCTCATTTCTTTGTTATCATCTGTGAAAGTTTCATCTTCCTTTCGCAGGGGCCTGATACTAGATGTTGTTTTTGCTCTTGATTTTGCATAGGAGAAAAAATATTTTGGATTTCTCTCTCTTTCACTGATATCCTTTTGCTCTCCTGAATTTTGTATGATTCTTGTAGCTTAATTTTAGTTGTTCTTCCCAGCTTATTTCTGTAAGGTCTTGGTATATTTTCTCCCAGATAATCTGTTTATTATTAAAATTTAATTTGCTGAATTCTCCTCCTCTGAGATTCGGGACTGGTTGTGCAGGTCTACTGCCCATGCATGTCAGCACTTCAATTAAGTTGTGATCTGAGTAACAGGTATTTGTAATCACTATGTTCCTGATCACTTCATCGTTATTTGTGAAAATTAGGTCCAATGTGTTCTCTTTTCTAGTTGGTTCTACTTTTGCTGGTTTAAGGCAAATATGTCCCACATCAGTTGCAGGTCATTTGCATGTGACTGTTCATTGAGGCTACTTTCCAGTATTCTCTCAGATATACAATAACTGTATTAGCTAGGTTCTTCCATTTCAGGTGCCGTCGGTTGAAGTCCCCAAGCAAGATGATGTTTGGGGCTGGATTTGAGAAAATTTCTAAGCAGTAAGTCATTAGGGGCCCTGACAGATGAGTGGACAGCGCTCGTGATTCGTAGTCCTGAGGTTCCGGGTTCGATCCCCGGCAGAGGCTGAAACAAATGGGCAGAGTTTCTTTCACCCTGATGTTCTTGTTCACCTAGCAGTAAATAGGTACCTGGGAATTAAACAGCTGCTACGGGCTGCTTCCTGGGGATGTGTAACAAAAAGGAGGCCTGGTCAAGGACCGGGCAGCGGGGACACTAAGCCTCGAAATCATCTCAAGATTAACTCAAGATTATTAACTCAAGAGTATTCTATTTTCATTAGTTGGTCTTTAAACTGCTGGGGATTTGCCTCCGGTGACATATACAAGGACAATGACTACAGTTAGGGTTTCTATTTTGAGTATCAGCACTTCCACCATATCGTTTGTGGTGTTTAGCAGCTCGGTGCAGATGAGTGTATCTTTGATGTTCAAGTTGACCCCACCATGTAGCCGGTGTTTCCTGTCACATCTGAAAAGATTGTACTCCAGAATCCATATTTCACCATCATAGTAGACCTTTGTGTGCTTTTCCATTAGGACTGCAAACACTGCATTTGCCACATGTAGGAGGCCAGCTATAGAATAAACTTTGTTTGATTTGCATGTTTTTATTCCCTGGATGTTGGCAAATAAAAATGATGTTATCGTGTCTGTGGAAGTGCTGGATGCTTTACTTGGTGTTAATATCTGAGGCTCTGGTAGGGAGGCTAGCATACAAACCCAGGCCAAATCGCTTGCGAAGTGCACAGTGAGTTTTACCATGCGCCACGGTGACTGGCTCAGTTACATTATAACTCACAATCATAATAGTGTGAGTAAGGCAGAGTGCAAGGCATTACAAGTGCAAGACATTAAGAGTTACAGGTGGCAGTGTACTCACATGTTGTTGAGACCAACCATAACATCAGCAGGAAAAGTTATCGTTGCCTGGAAAATAGTAATCATTCATTTACACTCACAAAATTCACTCCAACACTAACTCTCTACATATACATAATAAATCAAATAATAAATTATATAATGAACCTATCTTAAAACTAACCAAACACCAAATAAAATAGTCCTAGCACAAGCAACTAAGTGATTTATGATCTTTAATTACCTGTATCTAGGAATACGCTTGCTCATAAGCAAGCTTCTTGGGGAATAACCTTCACTTCCCCATTACAAAATGGGAGAACGTAACTCTCAAAAATCCATGTAAAATACACAACATAATGGACACTGCTTATTTCTAACCCAATATAAATATCTATACTATAAGGAAGAATATCTGCATATGTCCTTAGTTAGCAGCCAGATGTTTGGGGCTATCCTCACTCAAATTTGTAGGGGAAATGGTGAAAGGTACCTTCACCTTACCTTGCAGGTACCTTGTAGTGGTTAGGGTCAAGGTCCCCATGCCTATTCTTTGATTAGGCCTCCTGGTTGCTGGATTGGTCAACCAGGCTGTTTGATGCTGCTGCTTGCAGCCTGATGTATAAATAACAGCCTGTTTGATCAGGATTCCTTTGGAGTTGTTTATCGAGTTCTCTCGAACATTGCAAGGAGTCGCCCAGTTATGCCCTTTATGTGTAGTGGAAGCGTGTTGAACAGTCTCGGGCCTCTGATGTTGATAGTTCTCTCAGAGTACCTATTGCACCTACTATTTCAGTATGCAGATTAGGGACCAGCCCCTCTACTATTTTTCGTGTGTAAATTATTATGTATCTCTCTCGCCTGCACTCTAGAGAATACAGATTTAGGCATTTTAGTCAGTCCCAGTAATTTAGATGGTTTATTGAGTGGATTCTAGCAGTAAAGATTCTGCACGCTCTCCAAGTCAGCAATTTCTCCAGCTTTGAAAGGCGGGATGTTTGGAAGGGTAGGGGGATAGATATTGGCTAGTTGGTCTAAGTTAAATGCTTCAAGAAATAGAGTGTAACCCAACACCCTCGAGTGATTTTCATGAAGACTGAAATGAATCCAGGATGAAATTGGGAATATAATGCCAATAAAGTGTGAAATTACAGAGTTACTTCTACCATTTACTTGTGCAATTTCTTGACATATTTTCCGAAGGGGGTAAAGGAGAGAAGCGGGGATGGAGGGGGAAAGATAAAGGGTGGAATGAAGGTGGTGGGGGGAGGATAAAGGTGGGGGAAGGGGGGGGGGCAAAGAAGGGGGGGAAGGAGGAGGACAAAGGAGGGGGTAAGGGGAGGACAAAGGAGGGGGAAAGGGGGAGGACAAAGGAGGGGGAAGGGGGAAGGACAAAGAGGGGAAGACAAAGGGGAGGATGAAGGAGGGGAAGACGAAGGGGAGGATGAAGGAGGGTAAGACGAAGGGAAAGATAAAGAGACCCATACAGTTGTTTCATTCCTACTTATTAAGAAGAGGGGAGGAAATGGGGTAGAACAGGGGGAAGTGAGGAACATGGGGGGGGGGTAAGTAAGGAGGATGGGGAAGAGGAGGGCGGGGGTGACCAAGAGGATAGGAAAGTTGGGGAGGGGGGTCAAGGGAAAAGTGAGAGAAGAAGGGTGGAGTGAGTGTGCGAGGAGAGAGAGCCTATCCCGGGTACCAACCATCCTCAGTATACCATAATAGAGAATATGTCTGTCCAAGGCCAGATGCTTTTGACCAGCCTCACCCAAATTTGTAGGGGGAGTGGTCTGGGGTACAATACAGACAAATTCTGGTCATGGTAGGCCTAAGTTAAAAGTTTTAAGAAACATTAGTAATAATAGAGTCCTACTCCATATTCATGGGGTCAAGGGTGGGAGTCAAGTGGGAAATATGGCGCGTGATTAACGTGTTGTTACTGAAAAGGAAAATAATGAAAAGGAAGATAAGAGTAAGAGGAGAAAACAAAGCAAATCATCTGAGACCCATACATTAGTTTCAGTAATTCATGGGGGGGGGGGGAGGAAGAAGGGGGTAAAGGGAGTGGAGGACAGAGAAAGGAAAGGTAGTGTTTGAAAGGGAGAGGAGGCAAGTAGAATATAAAATACTTGTTCCATATTCTAATCACCTTGTGTACAGATAATGAGATGGGCCTGTTAAATCTATATAACCTATCAATTAAGTGTTCTACATTTCTAGAAGTCCTACACTAATTCATGGTATAATAATTACAATTCCCAAGTGCACAACTAATTACAGTTAATACCTCTTCCCAAGGGTACAGGATCAATCAAGCCAGCTGACAGTTTGGCCTAGGTGAGGTGGAAGCTTGTAATATAAGATTTGTCAGCATATCAGCGGTCTGACAGGAGACATCTCCTGTCACGCAGGGTGCAGTCGCACCTCCATAGATGTCCAGTATCATCTATTGATACTGGTAATGGCTCAAAAGGGCTACCACTTGTGGGCTATTCATGCCTGTGCCACCTTTTGGGTGGCTTAATCTTCATCAATCAATCACTCAATCATCACTGGCGGTCTTACGGGCTATTCATGCACGTGCTACCTCTTGGGTGGCTTAATCTTTATCAATCAATCATTGGCGGTCAGCCAGTCAGTCTTAACTCGTATAGTGGTTCAGTACAGATGATTGAAAGATACTGCACATCTTGAACATTCAGTAGCAACACTGTAACACTCGACGAGTCCAGTTCCTCCCCTCTCAAGACGCTACACCCTCGGCACAGAGAAGACAGCCAGATTCTGGCTGCATCGAGCTTCCGTGCTCTCGTCCCTCATCGAGCTTCTCGACTCTGCCCGCATTCAGAGCGTCGTGTTCTACACCCTCACCCCGCATCCAAGCTCTCTACCCCGGCCTCACTCAGATCTCTGGAGCATATCTGGAGAGGGTTCTGGGAGTTCTACTCCCTGAACCTGACTTGATGCCAGGCTCAAATGCTTTCTGCCCTGCTCCAGGCTTTATCTTAACCTCTATGACACTTCACTACACTGCCAACAAACCAACTGCTGTAAACAAGACTATACTAAATAAATATAAAAAACCACTAAACTGTGTGTGTGTCTAATCAACCAAATACCTACATATAAATATACGTTACAGTAGCTAGACAGGGGGTTAACTAGATGGAGAGGTAGATAAAAATCGGTAGAGGTAGAGAGAACCGGAGATGGGGGGAAAGACAGACCCGGGCAATGCCAGGTACCCCCTCCAGTACATATACCGTAAATAATATGATTGCCCTTGAGATGATCTATGCTTACATCAATAAATGATTCTAACTGATCTTAATTTATCAATATGTGATTTGTAATCAAGCTCCAATGTCATAATCCATAATTGCTATATGAATGATTCATAAATTGTCAATGCTTCAATTATAAATGAGTCATAACTAATAAGTGATTCAGAACTAATAATAGATGCCAATTGATCTATAATTTATTCACCACTGATCCATAAATTCTTAAGTGATCCATAACTGATGGTCTTCATGTCAGGCATATTGCACCCTGTAAATATTATCAACTCTCACTCAGATTTCTCTTTATGCCAAAATGAACAAATTTTATAATATCAAAGTGCTTTGTAGGTAACATTATTTAAAATTAGGCAACTTCAGAATCATGAACAGACTTGGGTCTCAAAGTTTATGACAACGACAGAGTTTGGGTTGTGTGTTGGTGGTATTTGACAAGTTCAGCTTTCAGATTAGCAAACCAAAATACCAGCTCCAACTTTGCTGGGGCTCTTCTGGAATGCTTAGGGAGACTCCATTCTTTCTCCTGACACTATTCGATTCTGGACGGTCAAAGTGGTTGAGCACCGTTCCTATCCTCCATTATATTCCTGCTCCTTGTTCTCAAATCCCTTCAAAATGCTATATAGTTATACTGACTTAGCACTTTCCCTTCATAATTACCTTGCCTCCATTTCTGTGCCAGGGATGAAGTTGGCCCAGCTAACTTCCCATCATCAGCTTATCAGAGAAAAGCGCCATCTTTCTCATCACAATCTCAAGAGCTTCCTCTGCTGGCTCATTTTAGCCAGCAAAGAGCAGGACATCATGTAGACGAGTGTGTTGAACAGGTCTCTGCTTTTATGCTCAACGGCAGTTCAGGAGACACTGCATGTGGGCTCCTTTAACCTTGAGTATTCTCCTTCAGAGGTTTCTACTGAACAATTTTCAGAGGTTGGTCTCCTAGAGGTTTCCTTTGCTGTCTTTCAAACTGTTTAATTATACATCTACTTTAACTATGGCTTCATCTCCAGCCTTCATTATATGCAAAGGGTTACCGGTATATCGGGTTACTGTATGCAAGTTTTGCCTCTGACCAAAATGATTCTCTAAACATGCTGGCCAAGCAGAAATTTTGAATGTTACTAAAGCAATATGCTAATTAGCCAAGCACCAGACTACAAAACTTGTACTGTGCTAAGCTTGTACCGTGTTAAGCAGAGTTCTGCATGTCTCACAGGTGTATTGCCTTAAAACATCAAAGACCAGGATGCAAAGTGATATTGAATATGACCATTTTACACTGCTTTAATCAGAGCTATGAAGGTCATTATAGTGCTTTGCCCAATTTCCATGCACAAATCTAATATGCAACACGTTCCCAGGTCTTTTTACCCTGACAGAGGTACAAGGAAGCCTGGGTGCCAAGTGAATTAACATTTTGAGGCAATGTATTGTTGAATTGCCAAATAATCATCTGCCTTCCTGATAAGGATTTGGCCTTTTAGCTGTTTATCTCATGTGTGATGTAAATCTTTGTTTTGGGGGATTCCATGAGAAGAGTTTCAGTTAGCAGCATTTATGTCTCCTGCTTGAGAGGGCAGAGGTAGTGCCAACTGGCTGTGGTGATCGATGTTAAGGGAGGCTTCTGAAAGTGTTTCAATATTACGAATAAACATCTATCGGTTATTCTAGGTTGGACTGATATAATGAATTAATTCCCCAGTGATTCCCTAGCACATTAATGACCTTACAGGAAAAGTTTGAAACGTTCCCTATGCTGTCATGAAGGGAATCCTATGCAACAGCCAAAACAGCTGGTCATAAAGGCATTTTTCATAAATTCTTGTTTTTATAAAATTAAGAAATTAAATTCAAATACTGTAGTATTTGAATTTGGCACACTCGACTAATCCTAGCAGGTAACCAGTCCCAAATTAAAAGCTGTCGTGCAATGTTTTGTACAGTATAGTCAAACTAATTCTAAGTACCATTTTACAGATATCTGGTCACTTGAGTTTGGTTACAATATTTTTAACATGCTTACAGCAGCAGCAGCATCATGGACAAGCCATGAGAGGAAGTTCATGGTGTCCAAGTCCTGTGGATAGGCAAGTGCAGATGTTTCATTGTTACAAGCACCAAGAGCTGCTCCGAAGTTATCAATTGAGTTGTTGAAGACTCGGTAACACAAGCCTCGGTACGCGGTGTAGCCGTTCGGGCAGTAAGCTGTAGGTAAAAGTTGTGTTAGCATCGTTTAAATGTAAGGAGCACACGGTGCTTCTAGGAAGAGCTAAATGACATGAGACGGGGGAGGTGAACAACACAACATGGAGGAGTAGATCAACACAACATGGAGGAGTAGAACAACACAACATGGAGGAGGAGGAGGAGGCCAACACAACATGAAGGAGGAGTGTAAGGAAGGGCTGTAATACTGACCTAAGATAGACAAAAGCAGCATTAACCCAAAAGCACCCCTGCCTTTTGAATCTCCTGCCCTGGGCTGTTTGTGTACACAACAGGTCTGTGTGGATGCAAAATATGCAGGGGGTATATGTGCTCTGTGGAATGGACCTCTAAGGCTGGAAGAGTGCTTAAAACAAGTATTCAGTCTTGAAAAAGGATGTAGGCTATTACAAAAATAATTTACAGCCGCAAGCCACGTACCGAAGACATTTGAGAAGAAGTAAGTGCAAATACAGTGGTACCTCGCATAATGAATTTAATCCGTTCCATGTTCGTCATGTGAAATGGACGTCATACAAAACGAGTGTCCCCCATATAACCAGTGTGATGCACTGTGTTTATTGTGAAATTCCCCCAGTGTGCATGACATCAAATGTTCCCCAAAATATCATTTTTCTTTGTAAAATGATAAATTACCGTCCCTGAACATGTCTATGTAAAAATAATTACCAAATTCCACTTACTTTGGCTGTGAGGGCGTGGACAAGGTGCGCTGTGACGTCATCAGGGCCTGGTCGCCCGTGTGTGAAGCTCCCAGACACGGTCGCGCAGGCCATTCAAGCACCGCGTGTTGCCACAAATATATTTTCAAATATTTTTTCTATGCATTTCCAATGCGGTTTTATTTGTTTCTTTTATCGTATATGATGCATATTTGTGACCTTTACAATATGTATACAGTAGAATGTTCATAATTTTCCATGAAACTGTGATACATGTGTCAGTAATGTGTCCACAATAAATGTTTATTGTCACAATATTACGTGGTAAAAATTCACTAAAATTACAATATGTACAGTTTCACATATTATTTACACAATAATACACTGTATTACACACTCAGTACTTTGGAGGTACGTAATAGTCAACGAAGTAGTCCATGGTACACAGCGCGACTTTGCTCTCCTTGCACCAGCTACAGATAGATTTTCGTTTCCTGTTTCATCGTTCTGTGTGCTTGCAAATAACGCACCCGCGTGCACCCTTGGCTTTAGTACTTGTAGGTGGTATGTAGCCAAGCTTGTAAAGCATATGGTAGTATTGAAACGATTATAGGAAAAGCTCAATTTGTAAGGTAGTCTTGAAAAGATCGCTTTGTAAGGTCCCACACAGGAAGAGATTCAGCTAGCCTCAAAGAGTGTCCATCAGTCAGGAAGAGATTCAGCTAGCCTCAAAGAGTGTCCATCAGTCAGGAAGAGATTCAGGTATTCTTGAAAATATCAATGAACAACACCACCATGGAAGCTGCTAACACTGTTCATCTATGCTACTTGTATCAGATGCATCATCACTGAACGCAGAAAACGATTCATCTATGTATCATCTATATAAATTCGAGATGGCCAGGGTGGGGCTCAGAGCTACACCTGGATACGCTCGCTGTATCATCCTCATAGGTGCTGTATCACTGGCATCCGACCATTGTGTTAAGCCCTTATTGCGCCTAGCTTCACCAATGTTATGACCCTTATGTTCTTCAAACAATAGGGTCTGAATTGCACCGACTGAGCGCAGTCTTTCAACACCGTGTGGGACAGGTGTTTGAGAGCCAGAGGCACGTGTGCCACAAATGGTTGCTCACACAGTACTAACCCAGCCAGCAGCCCTTGTCTTTCATATTCGTTATAGCAAAAGGTTCGTTCAGTGTTTGTTGGGTAGGCTGCTCCATTATGACAATCTTTCTTTGTTTCAAATGTGTTCCATTTGTTTTGTATTTGTCACTTATGTCTCAATAATGGAGCAGCCTACCCGACAAACACTGAACGAACCTTTATGGCATTTGTCCATTTTTCAAATTGTTTCAACAGTTCTTTTATTTTTCGTTTTTTTTTTTTTATTTAAGAAACATGGAGCAGCCGACCTGTAGACAACCGAACGAACCTTTTTGACATTTGTACTGGTTTTCAAAAATCTTCATTTTTTTTATTATTTACGTTTTTTGTATGTAAGAAACATGGAGCAGCCTACCTGCCGACCACCGAACGAACATTTTGCTATAAGACAAATGAAAAATAAATATTGAACACATTTGAAGAAAGGAAAATGTCATAATGGTTTATTCAGTGTATGTAAGGTAGGCTTCTCCATTATTGAGACGTAAATGACAAATACAAAACAAATGGAACACATTTGAAACAAAGAAAGATTGTTATAATGGAGCAGCCTACCTGCCGAACACCGAATGAACCTTTTTGACATTTGTTGTATATCAGACATTTCATTTCTTTTTTCCTACAAAAACGTCAATGCTTTGCAACATCTCAGCAGTCACCCCATTATATCCCAGTATCATTAGCATCTTTAAACAAGAACAACATAATTTATGTGCATCGTCGGAGGCGTCTAAGAATGTGCAAGAAGCAGCGCGACCCCACCTGGCCCACCATGTGGTGTTGACGTTACTCAAACCAGCGTTCGTCATACGGGACGATTTGACGCCGATCGGGCCGTTCGTTACCCAAAATGTTCGTCTTTTGGGGCGATCGTTATGCGAGGTACCACTGTATTGGAAACCAGTAAGGAAATATTGGTACTGTAGCTGGCATTTTGCAGTTGCATGTTGGAGAGGGAGGCCAAATTAGGGCATCAGGCAGGGTTCTATACTGGGCTCTACACCTTTTGGTACTTGTGTAAGATATACCCGTAGTAGTGGTGCCCCGTATTATGTAATTAGCTAGAAAGTGCCATTGACAGAGATAAAAACTTGTTAGACCTTCAGTACTATTTCAGGAGTCAGCCCTGTTATTCATGTCACATGTGATACTCCCTATTAGGGAATTATCTTGGAATTGTGTTATTGATGCTATATGAGTACTGTATTATATTAAAGTGTATAACTCTACACTTTACTGGTCAGAGATTTAAATTTGTGTGACCCCAAGTTACAGGAGATGCTACTCTTAGTATACATATAATGTTTTCACTATTAAGATATGCTTGTAATTATTACTATTACTGGTTTAATATTGTGGTTTATCATATCATTTACTGCATTGAGATGCCAGTTTGCAGGACACAGCGCTACCTACTATTATTCATGTTATATGTTCTGCCTTCACTATTAGGGAATACTACTGAAATTCCAAGTTGTATTTAGATCTCTTATAGTTTTGTAAGACCCAATGAGGAAGAGACGAGGTGCTCATTTTTTGTTAGCCTCGAAGGGAAGGGGGCAGCGATCAGTTCTGCGAGTTCTTGAACTGTTACAAAGGACAACTGTCCACGTCATTAAGAAAATAATAAATGTACAATGTCACCTAGAGCTTTAACTTCCTCAACAACCACACAAGCTACACAATGGTAGAACCTTCCTGGAATGTTATGTCAGATTTTTGGTACTATTACAACTAGATTGTGTTATACATTTTGTGTCATAAGGAGACATATTGGCCAAAACCTGAAGGAGATTGCAAGTAACTGATTTTTTTATCAAAGGGGGTTTCACTCTTGTATCTTCAGGGAAAAACTTCTTATCCCTGATAAGAGGATGGCACAAGATGGAGAGGATGGACAGCACAAGATGGAGAGGGTGGACGGCACAAGATGGAGAGGGTGGACAGCACAAGATGGAGAGGGTGGACGGCACAAGATGTAGAGGGTGGATGGCACAAGATGGAGAGGGTGGACAGCACAAGATGGAGAGGATGGACAGCACAAGATGGAGAGGGTGGATGGCACAAGATGGAGAGGATGGACAGCACAAGATGGAGAGGGTGGATGGCACAAGATGGAGAGGATGGACAGCACAAGATGGAGAGGATGGACAGCACAAGATGGAGAGGGTGGATGGCACAAGATGGAGAGGATGGACAGCACAAGATGGAGAGGATGGACAGCACAAGATGGAGAGGATGGACAGCACAAGATGGAGAGGATGGACAGGAGAGGATGGACAGGAGAGGATGGACAGCACAAGATGGAGAGGATGGACAGCACAAGATGGAGAGGATGGACAGCACAAGATGGAGAGGATGGACAGCACAAGATGGAGAGGATGGACAGCACAAGATGGAGAGGATGGACAGCACAAGATGGAGAGGATGGACAGCACAAGATGGAGAGGATGGACAGCACAAGATGGAGAGGGTGGACAGCACAAGATGGAGAGGATGGACAGCACAAGATGGAGAGGATGGACAGCACAAGATGGAGAGGGTGGATGGCACAAGATGGAGAGGATGGACGGCACAAGATGGAGAGGATGGACAGCACAAGATGGAGAGGGTGGACAGCACAAGATGGAGAGGGTGGATGGCACAAGATGGAGAGGGTGGACAGCACAAGATGGAGAGGATGGACAGCACAAGATGGAGAGGATGGACAGCACAAGATGGAGAGGATGGATGGCACAAGATGGAGAGGGTGGATGGCAGAAGATGGAGACGATGGATGGCACAAGATGGAGAGGATGGACAGCACAAGATGGAGAGGGTGGATGGCACAAGATGGAGAGGATGGATGGCACAAGATGGAGAGGGTGGATGGCACAAGATGGAGAGGGTGGACGGCACAAGATGGAGAGGGTGGATGGCACAAGATGGAGAGGGTGGATGGCACAAGATGGAGAGGATGGACAGCACAAGATGGAGAGGATGGACAGCACAAGATGGAGAGGCTGGACAGCACAAGATGGAGAGGATGGACAGCACAAGATGGAGAGGGTGGACAGCACAAGATGGAGAGGATGGACAGCACAAGATGGAGAGGATGGACAGCACAAGATGGAGAGGGTGGACAGCACAAGATGGAGAGGATGGACAGCACAAGTTGGAGAGGGTGGATGGCACAAGATGGAGAGGATGGATGGCACAAGATGGAGAGGATGGATGGCACAAGATGGCACAAGATGGAGAGGGTGGACAGCACAAGATGGAGAGGGTGGACAGCACAAGATGGAGAGGGTGGATGGCACAAGATGTAGAGGGTGGATGGCACAAGATGGAGAGGATGGATGGCACAAGATGGAGAGGATGGACAGCACAAGATGGAGAGGGTGGATGGCACAAGATGTAGAGGGTGGATGGCACAAGATGGAGAGGATGGATGGCACAAGATGGAGAGGATGGACAGCACAAGATGGAGAGGGTGGATGGCACAAGATGGAGAGGATGGATGGCACAAGATGGAGAGGGTGGATGGCACAAGATGGAGAGGATGGACAGCACAAGATGGAGAGGATGGATGGCACAAGATGGAGAGGGTGGATGGCACAAGATGGAGAGGGTGGATGGCACAAGATGGAGAGGATGGATGGCACAAGATGGAGAGGATGGATGGCACAAGATGGAGAGGGTGGATGGCACAAGATGGAGAGGGTGGATGGCACAAGATGGAGAGGGTGGATGGCACAAGATGGAGAGGATGGATGGCACAAGATGGAGAGGGTGGATGGCACAAGATGGAGAGGGTGGATGGCACAAGATGGAGAGGATGGACAAGATGGATGGAGGAGGATGGCAGCACAAGATGGAGAGGATGGATGGCAGCACAAGATGGAGAGGGTGGATGGATGGAGAGGGTGGATGGCACAAGATGGAGAGGATGGATGGCACAAGATGTAGAGGGTGGATGGCACAAGATGTAGAGGGTGGATGGCACAAGATGGAGAGGATGGACAGCACAAGATGGAGAGGATGGATGGCACAAGATGGAGAGGGTGGATGGCACAAGATGTAGAGGGTGGATGGCACAAGATGGAGAGGATGGACAGCACAAGATGGAGAGGATGGATGGCACAAGATGGAGAGGGTGGATGGCACAAGATGTAGAGGGTGGATGGCACAAGATGGAGAGGATGGACAGCACAAGATGGAGAGGATGGATGGCACAAGATGGAGAGGGTGGATGGCACAAGATGTAGAGGGTGGATGGCACAAGATGGAGAGGATGGACAGCACAAGATGGAGAGGGTGGATGGCACAAGATGGAGAGGATGGATGGCACAAGATGGAGAGGATGGATGGCACAAGATGGAGAGGATGGATGGCACAAGATGGAGAGGGTGGATGGCACAAGATGTAGAGGGTGGATGGCACAAGATGGAGAGGGTGGATGGCACAAGATGGAGAGGGTGGATGGCACAAGATGGAGAGGGTGGATGGCACAAGATGGAGAGGATGGACAGCACAAGATGGAGAGGGTGGATGGCACAAGATGTAGAGGGTGGATGGCACAAGATGGAGAGGGTGGATGGCACAAGATGGAGAGGGTGGACAGCACAAGATGGAGAGGGTGGATGGCACAAGATGGAGAGGGTGGATGGCACAAGATGGAGAGGATGGATGGCACAAGATGGAGAGGGTGGATGGCACAAGATGTAGAGGGTGGATGGCACAAGATGGAGAGGGTGGATGGCACAAGATGGAGAGGGTGGATGGCACAAGATGGAGAGGATGGACAGCACAAGATGGAGAGGGTGGATGGCACAAGATGTAGAGGGTGGATGGCACAAGATGGAGAGGGTGGATGGCACAAGATGGAGAGGGTGGATGGCACAAGATGGAGAGGATGGACAGCACAAGATGGAGAGGATGGACAGCACAAGATGGAGAGGATGGACAGCACAAGATGGAGAGGGTGGACAGCACAAGATGGAGAGGATGGACAGCACAAGATGGAGAGGGTGGACAGCACAAGATGGAGAGGATGGACAGCACAAGATGGAGAGGGTGAACAGCACAAGATGGAGAGGGTGGACGCACAAGATGGAGAGGGTGGACAGCACAAGATGGAGAGGGTGGACAGCACAAGATGGAGAGGATGGACAGCACAAGACGGAGAGGATGGACAGCACAAGATGGAGAGGATGGACAGCACAAGATGGAGAGGGTGGACAGCACAAGATGGAGAGGGTGGACAGCACAAGTTGGAGAGGGTGGATGGCACAAGATGGAGAGGGTGAACAGCACAAGATGGAGAGGATGGACGCACAAGATGGAGAGGGTTGGTGCACAAGATGGAGAGGGTAGATAAAAATAAATGTTTCTGTGGTTTCTTGTATTGTACTTAAGACTAAATATTGAAAACATTAACATTCCCTAGAGTTTACAACTTGTGGAAACAAAATGGAGCTTCAGAATACCCTCATATAAAATAATTTGATAACAAAAATTAATCTTTGATTTTACTTCTAATGCTCCAGAAAGTTAAACATATTTTTTCTTGCTTTTAATTTTATTTAAGTATAATAGAGTTGGGTGATTTTATAATTGTGTTCCTGATGTAGCGACACTCACTCCACTCCCAGGTGGTTAGGGGTTAATATACTTATCTGCCACCCTCAATATTCCTCTACCTTCACACAGGTAGTGGGGGGGGGGTAATACCTAATCTGACACATGAGCAGCAGGGGAGGGGGGAAGGGGTCGTAAGATATAATCTGACATAGCCAGTGATGGTAATATACTTGCCTGGCACCATACACAGGGAGTACATGGTGGAGTCATTGCACTTGGCATACTTGCGTGACGCATTGCTCACCACAAGACACTGCTCGACTGTTGTTGCCTGCGGATACAGATAACACCGTCACGAGAACTGAAATGATAACTGTAGTCCTATTTTAGAGAGAGATTAATACAGCTCAAAATAAACAACAGTCTTTAAAAAAATACCAGCGTTGAATGTAATGAAACGCCATTTTCTGGGTGAGCCCCAGAGGCTCCCTGGAGCTTATTGGGCTAATGTATGTTATATTAGACTGGGACATTAGCTAAGGAGTTCAAACCTACCAGAGTTCCAGAATGGTCCCCTTCAGAGGTTTCAGGGAGCAATGGCCCTGGAAAAACCCCCTTGTGGTTGGGGTTTTCCTTATCTGCCATCGACTGGGGTTAGGCATAACAAAACAAACCCCACATGGTAAAAAACTAAAACAAAAAAACGAACAGAGAGGTAGAAACTCCCTACAATCCCAAGGAAACAAGCAAACATCACACTTTACTGCCGCGCCGATCGTCCGTGCAGCCCTCCCCGCCCTGAGAGGGGAAGGAGGGGGCCCCCGGATCTTACCGCGCCGGCTGCCTGTCCGTCTGTCCGCCGACAGACGGACAGACCCCAACATCCTCGGCTGACCTAGTGAACAATGGTCACAAAGCCCCAGCCAAGAGATGACCCGTCCGTGAACACATCGAGCGAAGGCTCGGGGAGGTGCCAAGGCACAGAACCCCGAAAACCCAAAGAGGAAGCTGGTGATGCAGCACCAACACCCTGGAGGACGAACCCAAAGATTGCAAGAGAGGCGGAAGAGGAGTCCCCGAAGGAACCAAAGAGACGCCAAAGCCAAACCCGACCCTGCGGGCAGACCAGCACGTCGAAGTTCAGACTCCTGCACAACCGCTCGAGCAACCGCCGAGCAACCCGGGACCCCCTCATAAACAGCCGAAGGCAGAACCACAGCCACAGCAACGCTTCTGGAGGGAAAGACAAGAGCGGCCCAAGAGCCTTAAACAAGACCCCAGCTAGGTCTGAACCCGGGACGGAAACAGATGGAACGGCCTCCAGATCACCAGGAAACTGAACCCGGTGATCTGGAAAGAACCACACCCCAGGCAAGCAGACAAGCGGACCAACTGGGAGCCCACACTAGCCAGTTGTCGAGGTAGGCCCGACACCGAATCCTGAGCAGACGCAGACAGGGCACCAAGATCCGGTAAAGATGTGTAATTACACCAAGTGCCAATTACAAACTAGGGAAGGCAACAAAAGCAGCAAGCCTGAAGTCCCACCACCAACTGTGCCAGTCCCAGAACCCTGGAGAGGAACGTGCCAAGAAGTGACCCGGAGGTCCAGGGCCACCATCCAGGCACCCGGCCCCAACAGAAGCTGGACCAGAGACAACAGTCCTCTAAAGAGGGCAAAGAAATCAGGGCGCAGACTGAAGAAGTCCAAAAGAACTGCAGATCCGCAAGTCCCGTGTCTGCATTGAGCAGACGAGAACCTCAGAAGGATAGGGTGGATTGACCACGTCCAAACGCACCCACCAAGATGACATGACGAAGTGCAGGGGAAGAAGCCCACCCCCGCCAGCCCCAAACCCCCTCAAAGGGGGAGAAGCCGTCCACCGCCACCAGAGGCCGGAAGACAACCAAAAATGCCCACTAACTGCGGGATCAAGCGAGAGCCAACAGAGCAAGCTGCTCCCCCAGAGCCCCGTCAACAGCAAGGGGAACGGAGCCCCTTCTGAAAGAAAAGGTACTGTATATAAATATATATATATATATATATAAATACACGCACAAGGTGTATTACACATGTGCGCATGTACATGTGCATACACACATGTGTACACACACACATAAGTGTACACATGTACATGTATATATGTGTACACACATACACATGAAAAGAAAAGAAAATTAAATAAAGAAAAGAAAAAGACAAGCCGCCGAACAGTGGGAAGAGAGCACTACGCCGGCCAGGCGAAGAAGGCACAAATAAAGCACAAAACTGCATCAAAAGGCCCGCCTCGACAACAAAAACCCAAGGCCCCGGCACGACCACAACACGTGCCAAGACCCAAAAAGATCAGCCTGCAAGCCAGGAAGACCCCGGAACCCCAGAAAGCAGAACCGGGTCACACATGAGGAAACAAAGCTCCCAGAACCCACAGAAGGGGCCCTAGAGGAAGAAACCTCCGGAATGAAACCAAAGAACCCAAAGGAACCCGGAATTGAACCCAGGGGAGCCCAAACTACCACATTTGCCGGCGGAAATACACCACAGAAAGGCAAAGCACAGCCCCCAGACATACCCCCAGGGAAACGGACAAAACAGATCGAAAACCGATGGACAAGGTGTGGGAGCAAGCATAAACAGACAGGGACAATGAGCCCAAACCCAAAACAGACAGAAAACGGAAAAACTGGTGTAAAAACCAACACCCTAGCGTTCCCAGAAGAACAGAAGACGGGAAGAAAACACCAGAGAAGCAAAGAAATGTTCGCACACCCAGGCCCATGTAAACAAACCGCAACGCCGCCCTGGTGGGCACACCGGCAAACCGGCAGAAGAAAATGGCCACCAGAAACAGGGGGCCATGACTGACGCAATAGATACGAAAACACGCCATCAAATATGGGAAGCAAGCAGACAAGATGGATGAAAAACAAGATGGATGAGCTGTAGGGGGGGAGCCCCTACAGCTCCCCCAAGCTATTCAGGCTGATATGGATATCCCTAACTTTGGCATCAGTCGATGTGGGTGGAGTTCTAGGCCTACCGAGGACCATGAGCCAGAACCTGGCCCGCCCCTCAGAGAGGCACGGGGAGCAATGGCCCATAGTTTACACATGTGATTTTGGAGCATTCCATATCTGCCATTGACTGGGACAAGCACCTAGAAAGGTAAGCGCCACAAAACAAACCCCTATTCTGGTTAAAAACAACAGAAATTGACAAACGAGTGGACACAACTCCCTAATTGAAAACGAGCAAACAAGCATGATATCACACGAGCCACACCGCATGTCTGTGCAGCTTCCCCCTCCTGGGGAGGGGGAAGGGGAAGTCCCAGAACCCCATGCCAGCGATCCACACCTCCAGTTCCTCGGCTGATGGGATACAGCTCGGTCATTGTGGCTCCAGATTCTGATTTGTGTTGAGCCTGGGTTCAATACTTCTCTTAGGGAGTGTGCGAGCTGGGAGTAATATTCACAGGTGCTCGGACTGCATGTGTTTAGGGTCACCTTCCCTGAGTGCCCTGTAAGTACTTACCATAGGGGCTTGGGGCTACCTTCCACAAGTCACCTTGGGTCTACCCCTGTTGGTCTTTTGCTGCTTAGCGATTAACCACCCCGAGTGTTTGGGGGGAGGGGGGGTGGTTTCCTCCTTGGTTTGCCTTGGGGTAAGTGGTAGTTTTTGCACTGGTAGGGGTGCAGGGTACTGCGTAGCTAGTTTTCACCTATGACAGTGGACGGCTCTGTTCCCTCTGGGTACGCTGTCCTCTTGCGAGGTTTTTATTTTATTTTTATTTTTGCCTGGTGGGAGTCTGCCTTGGTGTTCCTTACCCTTATACTAGGGTTGTTTGTGTTTGATGGTACCCCCTGCTTCGCCCTCATGAGTGGACACGTTCCGGGGGTTCAGCATTAGCAGGGCTGATTGGTAGCTTGGGTGCCAGTTAACAGTACCCTTCCTGGGTAAACCCTTGTCAGACCCAGTCTAGGGGCCCTGAAAAATCCCCACGGGGCACTCGGGTTCACTGGATGTGACCCCTGAGTCCCCTCTCACTTTTTGCGAGTTTGAGGGTTGCTCTGTCCCCCTTGTCTCAGGGCAACGCTCTTTGTTTTTGCCTCCGTCATGCTGCCTGTTGGGTCGGTGACAAATTGACAAGAGTCCTGTGAGCTTGTTGCTTATTTGTGACTCAGCTCACCTGATCTGATATTATTCGGGTGCAGGCGATTCACTCATTGTAAGGTAGGTTTAGGTTATTGCAGCGCGCTCGTTTGGTTGCTTTCTTGGATGCCCCGAGGCTGCCCCGTTTTGTTTATAGGGACCTGGACTTGGGGGTGTTAGTCGCTTCAGCCTTGGTTCCATTCGCGCCCCCTCGTTCTTCCCCTGCTGTGGTTCATTCGGTCCCCCCACCCCCTGCTTCTGGCTCCTAGGTGTCTGAGGGCTTCTGGGTCGGGGCAGGGTTCAGAGGTTTCCAAGACTCGGGCAATTTCAGGGGGTTGCCCCTTCCGGGGTGGCTACGGAGGTATTCGAGTCCGTTCCTCCAGCCGTAACTCCAGCGTCTGACCAGTGGGCCTATTCTCTTCCTGCTCTTTCGGCCACCCCGGCTTTTTCTCCTGTGGCCAGGTCTTGGGAGGACGACTTTCCCCCCGGGGCCTGACGTGGAGGTTCCCGGGGTTGGGGAGGGGCTGGCTTGGGGGCCTTGGGCCCCGTTGGACCCCGCCTGGGTTTTCCAACCCTCTGGGCGGGGCTTTCCGTTAAAAGGAGAGAGGTTTTCCTTTCCCCCCCCCCCTCTGCGTACGAGTTAGTAGGGCATCAGCTCTTTCCCAGGTTCAGTTCTGTGTCCTGGGGTCCGTGGGTTCCTTCCTTCCTGTGGGTGATTTTACCACTTTTTCACCCTTCTTTTCTAGGACAGGTATTTTTCTACGTCATGCTCTCCTCGTCTCGGGATCCTACATGACCATTGGTCGCACACATCACTGGGCCCCTAGGAGCCTCCGTGCTTTTCTGCTTGCTTCTCAAGGGTCTCAAAGGTTCAGGAAGATCTTTATTTCTTCCAATATTGTTGGAATGCCTGTCATCTGCTTGTGAGGCTTACCTCCAGTCCTTTCTCAGGCTCATTGGTCCTCTTCAGTCCTACTTATCGTTTTTTAATATTATCTCATTCTTTTCTCATTACATTTTATTACATCTGTCTCGACATTACTAATGTTCATTTAGTACACCTTGTAGGCAAACTCCCCATGGGTTGGGTGTTGCAGCTCGGTCCTCAGGCGCATGCGCCGTGGGTGTTTGTTTTGGTTTCTGTGCGGTGTAAACATGTGTTGGTTTTCCGCTTTCTT